TCAATAAATTCTTGAAACTATAAATTTAAAATCTGCAAATAAGAAAACAAATATGCTGAACATATAATACTACTAAAAAGCATTCAAAATTATTTCAAAGAATTTATCTACAATATTTATAGATAAAAACCTGTACTAAATCCAACTATGATATCTTCAACTCCATCTCCATTAACATCATTGCTTCGCAATGGAGATTCTGATGTCAATTTTGGTAATGACCTGGTCCATAAAATTTTTGTTGTAAGAGATGTGCATGGAACTATATTAGATTCATGTAATGAGTCTTTAATGTCACGTGACAACCAATTTTTCAAAAGTGACATTGGCATAGGAATTATATTTACTATATATATGCATAATATAATAAGGCTTAGTAATATTATTAATGCCATAAACCCAAAGCAGAGAGGTATATAAATAGTCCTATTTGAAAGCTTATATGTTTCAAATTTATGAGATCTTTTATACTTTCTACGAGGAGCCATTAAAGGCCGTTTAACTCCTCCATCATCATCCAATTTTAAAATACCATTTTTTCCATCTCTAATGAAAACCTCATCATCAATATCTGTCAAATCCTCATCATCAAAACCATCTCGTGCAACCAACTTTGGTAAAGTTGGGTAAACAGCAGACATATTTTTTACCTATAAAATTTTTGCATTTTTAACATATTGTTTATAAATTACAAGGCAGAGTTATATAATTCACTGCACAAATAATTCAGTTAATTCCTACACCATTAATACAATTATCACAAAATATATTAATAATAAACAAATTGCTATAAATGTATATGGATATTCAATGAAAATAAAAAAAATTCATATTCATCATTACATTTATTTATAAATGTATAATAAATGCAAATTTACTGAAATAAAATTACACGATAAAAGATTTAAATAGAATGCAAAAAAAAATTAATAAAATATTAACTAAATACAATCTATTGTGTTAGAATTATATTTTTGTATGCAATATTATACACACTATTAAAATCACAATATATTACTCTAAATTAAAATTCATCACGTTATGACAGTTACCATTTAACTACAAATAGTATAGCTGAAATTACATTACAAATAAGAATTATATACAGAATTACAATATATTGTTTAACTACGTGCTTTCAAAAATGTTTGTAATTTTGATTTTGAACAACAACAAATAAAGTTCCTTTATTAAAATTTGCAAAGATATTGTACAAGAATAATATAATACGTTTATGGGTTATTCATACTGTACACTTAGATTTAAATTGATAATTCTAGTAAGTTTTTCTTATTACTTTTATGTTATTATTTCAGTTTTTCACTTTTTGTAATTTATGTAAATAGTATGAAAAATGTACATACATAATTTATTACCGTAAGTTTTTAATAATTAATCAATGTTACTAAATTTGTTTATTAAACATTTAATGTTTACTCAATTAAAATCTTCTATAAGTTACAGTTTTAATTTCGATATATGTAATAATTGATTGTACAGAATCTAATTGTATAATAATATGTATGTACATTAAATAAAATAATTAATGTAAAAAAAAATATTTCAAAGTTTGATTTTACATTCATTTTTAATAACACAGTGCCTTAAATTAAAATGAATTAAAAATAAATTAATTGCTTTCTTTACTAAAATTACGTTTCAAATAAACTTTGAAATTTAATTATATTTAGTATTTGTTCCTAGGGTAGTACAATATATTTCTCTATATTGTGAAAGAGACTTTACTCAGTTGCCAACTATCGTTGATTGAATTTGCGCTTCTTCCAGCAACCGGCAGTGTGTGTCTGTGGTACCGGTGCATATTAGTTAACATAAAATGTCGTACGCTAAATTCAACTTTTCATTTTATGTCACATGTTGTTGCTTATTTTTGAGTCTTGTGAATGCAAGTACTCAGACATCATCAGAAAATACTTTCGCGGAACAACTTACCGAAGAAAATTGGGATCATATGCTGATCGGAGAATGGATGGTGGAATTGTGAGTTGAATTGATTCTATGTCGTCAAATTTGATGGCGTGTCAAAAATTATGTTCAAAAAATTCTTATACTATGAAAAATGCATGTTATTTTACTTATAACTGCATAAATGAAAAAGTCAATTGTATATGATAAAAATAAATTTTATTATAAGAAAAATTAAGAGTATAGAAAAGCTATAAGGAATAAATTATTTCAATGTTGAAGATTCGTATTTTAAACCATCATGTATTATTATAATTTGACTACTTTAAATTTAGTTATGCTCCATGGTGTCCTGCTTGTAAAGCACTTGAACCAATTTGGGAACATCTTGCTTCACAAAAGAAGAATCTAAATATCAATGTGGGAAAAGTTGATGTGACTGATTCTCCAGGACTTAGTGGACGATTTATGGTTACAGCTTTGCCAACAATATATCAGTAAGTTCTTTTTATCTTATAAAAATTATTTCAATTTGGAATTCAAAATATTGTCATAATATATTTGAATGTTCTTCTTAGTGTTAAAGATGGTATATTTAGGCAATATAAAAGTCCTAGAGATAAAGATTCATTAATGGAATTTGTATCTGAGAAAACTTGGGAAAAAATTGAGCCAATTCCTGGTTGGAAGAGCCCAACTTCCATTCAGATGTCTGTTATTAGTCAGTTTTTTAAAATGTCACAAGTATTAAGGGTAAAGATTTTAATTAAAGTTTATGAAATGAATTAATTTCAAAAGGTATTGTAAAATAATCTATTAATTCTTTTAGGGCATACATAATAGACTTATGGAAGATTTTGAATTACCTACATGGGGAAGTTACTTGATCTTTGCAATTAGTACTATTGTTTTAGGTGCAATAATAGGATTGGTAAGTTTGAATAATGAAACTTAGTAATTTTAATTAAAATTAATTATCATTTATACCTTGTAGTTTGTTGCTTGCTTGATCGATTTTATATATCCACCAAAACCTGTGATGCCTCAAGATAAAAAAAAACAAGAAGAAGGATTAGGTAGCTTTATGCAAGAAAAGAGTATACAGGATGAGGAAATTGTTGAAAATGTTAAGGATGATTTAGTAGATGAAGAATCTGAACAAGAGGGATCTGAGACAGAAGAAAAGGAAAAAGATGCAGACAAAGATTCGAAAACTGAACCAAGCAGTCCAAATGTTCGCAAACGTAAGCCACGTAAAGCTGATTAGACATACTAATTTGTTGTATGTAAATATTTAACATTTGGAAAGAATGACAAATGATATTTAGCAGTTTGTAATGTCAATTCATTTTGATAAATGAAGACAGTGGCAACAATACATGACTATTCTATGTATAATACTTGACAAAGAATTGCAAAAATTCATGCAGAAAGATGAAAATAGTAAACTTTATTGACAGTTTATAGTTATTTGAAACATCAAAAATATTTTTAAACACGGTAGCAAAACTTCAATATTGCATAAAAAAGAAAATTAAAAATGCAAAATTACTAACCTCAGGTATTATTTTTAAAATCACAGAACGATAATCATAACAATAAAAAAATTAATTCAGAATATTTTATCTGCAAGTTTATAACACCACATTGCTTCCAAATACACCGAAGTGTAAGGTAAAGATTGAAATTGTCTTGCACTTGTATTACTATTATTTTTACTGACATTTTAGCAGTTATTATAAAAAAACAGAATGGTTATTTTCAATTGCATTTCTTTACTTTTTCCTAAAGAATTTCTACATACATTTATAATTCAGATGGTTAATATCATAGTTTATTGTAAGTAATTAATATATTTTCCTGTACAAATTTCTTATTTATAACTTTTACATACTATATTGCCAAGTAAATGAACAACTATGTATTATTTATATGAACACTGTTTTTTATATAGTGGCATAAAGTATTTGTTTTCAGATTGTAAAAATGCTTAAGAATTTATTAAATAAGCCAATAGCTTTAAAATTTATTATATGCTCGTATTGTACAATGTATTTTCTGTTTTTATGAAATTAAAACTTTTATACGCAACACTGAATGCATTTAAGAGAAAAAAAGTACTGGAGTAGAATTCATTTGTGAAATTATGTTAAAAAAATATTTACATTATAAATGTAACTAAATCACTAGTAAAATTCATAATCATCATTAGTCATTTTTTAATACAGGAATAAAGATATTAATGCAACAACAACGCTCATAATTTAAATATTTCTTAATAACTACATGTAATGCATTGTATTAAATTTTTATAATGCTTATTTGATGCAAAGCAAATTTTTAGGTTAATGTAAACATAACATACACATACTGAATGAAGTCAAACATGTATGCTTAATAAAAAAAATGTGAGACATTGCATTTACACTATTTATGAATATTTTAGTGCATAATGTAATTATTTAACAACTATTAAACGTCTTCCATGTATGTTACATATTTCTACTCTAAGAAAATAACATTATTAATTATAAATATGCTAAACTATATTTCGTTGTATTTAAGTAATTTATATTTGAAGTATGGTTGGACTTTTGTAAATGGCGCCATATTTAATTACTAATTTATATATACTTTAACAAATGTAATGATGATTTTATCAAGCATATTATTTCTACAAAAATCCTGTTTATTTACTTTAACTACAGCGTTAATAACTTAGAAATACATTATTTGTATTCTTTAAATAAAAGCTACATAACCATTACGCATACCGGAAGTGAGATCTAAGTACATTTAAGAGATATTTTTCAACTGTAGATTTGTTGTATTTAAAAAGTAATGAAATTTGATTATATCACATATTTTAACTTTTGCTTAGAAGGACAACATTTATAGTTTTTTTGTAAAGTATAAATAATTTAAGAGTTAAATTATAAAATACATGGTGAAAGTGGAATCACAAAAGAATGCGCATGCGTGATCAGAACAAATCGAAATCGGGACTACACGCCTCTGCCCAGAAATAAGAGAGACGCGTATTCTATTTAACCTCGAAAATAGACGGGTGACCACGTTTTGTACGGTATGTTAATTTAATTTTATAAATTTAGTTAAGTATGTATTTGTTCTTCTTGCACATTATTTTAAGTGAAATAATTATTAATTTATTGTATTAAGTTATGATTAGTTAAAATAAATATAAAAACAAAAGGATTCGATTCATAACTTGTGGCTATAACCTCTGTTTTAATTACAATTGTATGTGTAATTTTGTACATACATATATAAGTAGGAAATAACGAAATTATAAATTATAAAGTAGTATATTTCAATTGAAAAATCTAAAATATAAATTGTGTTTTTAAATATGTTAAATACTTAGAATATAGCGTGTAAATTAAATTTGAAAACGTGCTACCATGTCACGATACATTTGTAAAATCATTTTATATACGAAACGCTTTTTATAATTGAAGTCTTTTATGTTCTTATTACAGTAGAGTGTATTTTTATTACACAGACAACAATCATGGTTAAAAATATGAAGAAACGTTCAGCCAGTGAAGATAAAGGAGTTGAAAAAATAGGAGTATCAGGAAATTTGAATAAAGTATTAAAGAAAAAGAAAACAGAAAATGGGGCTGCACAAAATGGTCAAGGAAAGAAAGTAATTAAAGCGATCAAACCTAAGAAAGACGATGTAGTTGTTCAAAATTCTAATAATAAGAAAGAAACAAATGTAACTAGTCCAGGAAAAAATAAAAAGAAAGTATTAAGTAAAGAGAAAGAATTGGCGCTATTGCAAAAGAGGCAACAATATCGTGAGAAACGTAAAGAAAATAAGCTAGGAAAATATGGAGTACTGGGTGATTTATCTGTTGAAGATATAAAAAAGAACATACAAAAAATACAAAAACGAACAGAGCTTTCAAAGACTGCTAAGAGAAAATTAGCAGCACTCAAAAAGAAATTAAGGGTAGAAGAAGGAACAGATGAGCCAAAGGAAGTTACAAAAAAACAAACACAGAAAGCAAAAAATGTGAAATTATCAGAACCCATGAAGAAAAAGGAAGTCCAAAATAATGAACAGAAAAAAAAATTACAAGGAAAGTTGGAATCTAAATTAAGTAAAGAGGAAAAAAAGAAAGGCAACAAACAAGGTAGTATACTACTTTTAAAGCAGAAGAAGGAAGAAGGTGAGGAAGATGAGGAAGATGAGGAAGATGAGGAAGATGTTGAGATGGATGTTGAATCAAGTGAAGATGAAAATGAGAGTGGCGTAGAAGAAGAAGAAGAAGATGAGGATGAGGATGACGATGACGATGATGATGAGGAGGATGAGGATGAAGATGATGACGATGATGATGACGATGACGATGATGAAGAGGAAGAAGAGAAAGAAAAGGAGAATGAGGAGGAGGATGTGGGTGAAGAATTTGAAAGTAGTCTACAAAGTGAAGATCGAACTGCTAAAAAACATGATGTTCAGAGTCCACAGGATAATGAAAATCCTAAAAATGTAGAAGAAGATGGTAGAAAGGATAAATATGTACTTTTCGTAAAAAATTTACCATACACGTAAGGGAACATTTATTATTCTTTAAGTTAAGTATGTACTTTATATTTGACTAACTGTATTCTTATATTTTAGCATTACCGAAGAAGAACTTGAGAAGCATTTCTTAACTCAGGTCAGCCAAGTGTTTAATGTTAAAATACCTAAAAGAGAAGATAATAAAACACACCGTGGATTTGCCTATGTTACAGTGGCCAATAGCACAGACCACGAGGTATACATACATATATTAATAAGTAATTTCTTTAAATATTAGAAATAATGGTATATATTCTCTGTTGTTTTTTTTTTCTCAACAGAAAGCACTTACATTGGACCAAACCTATATTAATGGAAGAAAGATAAATGTGCAATATGCAAATAGTAACAGGAGACCAAATAATAATTTTGCTGGTAATAGTTTTAGACATCAAGGTTTTCAGAGGGGTGGAAGATTTTCAGGTGGAAGGGGCAGAAGTAGTTCATTTAGAGGCAACAGGGGAAGACCATATACGCGCAGAGGAAATTTTAATCGACAGAATTAATTTTAAATAAACGTTTTAATGTCATCTTCACTACTTCTCTGTTGTGACATTTAGAATTAAGTTTTTTTTTATGTAATCAAGATGTTTAATTGTAAAGACTCATATGTTGGGCAACATAGATAAAAAAATCTTCACCTATTAAAATGTCTGAAAGTTATTTATATTATTAACCTAACCTGTGCATGAAAATGTTGCCGTATATTTTCTCTCATTTGTTGGATGTGTATTTATCAGAACAAAAGTTTACCTTCACGTGTTTATATAATAATGCGTTATTAAATAATTTGTATCTGACAGAGAGAAAGATAAAAAAAATGTCATGATATTTTGTATTGCTATTTTAATAACGTCAAATGTATATATGTTTATGATATGTATCCATGGAATAAGTAAAGATCTTTCAATTTATAATACAAGAGAGGTTAACTAAAAAAAACTTTAGAAATTTATTATAAGAGATGCCTAAATCGGGAATTACGTATATAACAACGCAAGATGAAACGAATAATTCGTTAGATTTTGGAGCAACGATTCCGTGGACGAAAGAAGTAACAGAGGTATTATTCGTGAACCATCGTAAGATAAATGTAAAGAAAGAGTAACGCTTCTTCTAATCTAATTCTTCCAGGAGAATTTACCAGATGACATTATCTTTCCAAGAGAATTAAATTTGTTCTTGCGGAATCGAATTCAAGTAATCAGAATAAGTATAGTTTACGAAACTACAAAGTTTGCGCGTTAAACGTGTGAAAAAAAAATTGCAATTGATTTGCCGACAATGTTCAATTAAACGTACAAAATAAACAATAGGATTTAACTGCCGAGAATGGTTGTTTGCGTCGAGCACTCGACGAGGCGGAGGAAAAAATTCAGCGAGACCGGGGTACAGCGGAAACTGTGCAGGGAAGAATTTTAGGAAAATCTAACGAGTTAGCAGCCGCGAAGATAATCGAGCTTAGCAAAAGGTGTAGAGAACAAATATCCGAGATCGAGGTTCTAAAGTCTAAATGTAAAAATCTAGAATATAATTTAACTAACAACAAAGCAACAGAATTGGAGAATGAACGTCGCGAGAGGGGACTTACGAAGATCGATTCCTCTAACGAGAGTGAGTTCAATTGGAACATTCTTCATTCGTCCATCACATTCTTGTAGCCGTTACTTTATTCCATTACTGTAAATATTATGATCGAGATCCAGGATGGTATCCTTGACAAAGGTACCGAGAACAATCAGCCGAAGATAGACGAGGATCGATTGAAACATCTGTTAGAAAAATTGCAGCAAACCCAAGGGAAACTGTACGAGTCTAAAAATAATTGCGCTAGTTTAAAACAGGAGATTAACAAATTGCACAAGGTATTTATACTAAATACGAGGAGAGAGAAAATAAAGACCCTTTCTACCGTAAACGAGACACGAGTTCCGTATAGGACAATCTTTAAACATGCGAACATGTAGTTACTGTGCAGTGAAATAGGCGAGAATCTAAACTTCGGTAACTTGTTGTTGAATCAACCTGGCGGATGGCGAGGGAGGGCGGAACAGATTCATCTGCTTCAACAGAAAGTAACAGAATTGCAAACGAAATTATCTGACTACGAAGGAATGCAAAAAAAAACGTCTATCGGTATGTGAAAAATTGTGCATCCGACGACGATTTGGATCTCTCTCTCTCTCTCTCTATATATATATATATCGTTTCTAACGCGTATACATACACATGCAGAACGAAAGAACCTTGCGAATGTTCGAAACGTCGAGAAGGAAAGGCGACGACAGATGGAAGATTCGGCGAAGCAACTTCGACAAGCTGAGGTAGCTGTTGAAGGGTACAAAAGGAAGTTAGAGGCTTCGAAGGCGAGGATAAAAGTGTTGGAGAACGAGTTGAACGTCGCGAGGGGAAACATTGCGATACTGAACGAGAAAAGATTTCACGACGATCATTTGATCGAGACGCTTGGCGTGAGTGTTACGATCCTGATGTTTCGAACGTTTTCGTTTTATCTCGTTGAAATTCACGCGAAAACTCGTCGCAGAATCGGCTTAAAACGGCTGAGACGAAGCATCAGGAACGCGAGGTCGAGATGAAGAACAAAGAGGAGAGAATCGAGCGTGAACGGACCAACTTGCAGAACGACTTGGAATCGGCACAATTACAGATCGATCGTTTCCGTAGGAAATTGAAGGAACGAGAGATCGAGATCGATAAATTGAGGTGTTTGGCAATTTTCTCGTTAGGAACGTTAAACGTCCGAATGAGATTTTCCATTTCGAACGTGCGTTATCGATTTTGTAGAAACGGGACAGTTTCGAGGATAGGGGAGATTAAAGCTCGAAACACGGTGCAAACGGAGGTGTTCCCGAATCATTTTCAACACGATAGCCCTCCTCGTACTGTTCGAAGTACGCGTGAACCTAACGAGTATGTGACTTTAGCTTTGGCCGCGGAAGCTGAAAGGGAGAGACTATTGGAATTGATAACGGTGCTCAACAGGCGGTTGGATAAAGAGAAAAACGATGCCGACATACTTTCTGTCAGTCTTTTTCTAACATTTCTCATGCCTCTTTATTAGTCGAACTTTTAACAATGTGAAACCGAATTATGCAGCACGCGTTGCGCAATGAAAAAAACAAGTCGGCCAAGTTGGAATTGAAGATTCGTAAATTGGAGACGGAAAGGGTGGGAATCGTTAGGATCGATACAGGATACAGGGCGAAGTTACCTAAATCGTTGAAATCCGCCGACGAAACGATGGACGTGGAACAGATGCGGCTTAAGTAAGTTTCCGAATGACGTAGATAACCGATCAAACGAAAATTCATCCGAACATCCAACGATCATTGTATAGAATGGAGTTACTTCAAGAAGAGTGTCTCGCGTTGAAAGTTAGATTAGACACCGTGCAACAGGCCAAAGCTGCGGATCTTGCTGCCTACAAGCAGATGTACGAGCAGGTTAAAAGAATTTTTCAAGAAGCCTGCACCAGGTACGTATACATGTATATATCGATCGACGAGATTAAACGAACGAAAATATGTATACCGAAGAACAATCTCTTCTTTCAGGAGCAAACCACCGCCTACCATTGGTAGCCGTTCTATCATTACGGTTTGATTAGGACTTGAATAAAGTACCATCTTCTTTCTTCTTTCTTCTTTCATCTTCGTCGTCGTCATCGTCATCGTCATCGTCTTCTTCTTCTTCTTCTTCTTAGAGCAGGCTGAAACGAAAGTTGGAAAATTCTATCTAAAATTGTACGATACGAAATAAAGTATCATAGTCTTTTAACCGGTGATTCACACAGGTTGACCACCCACGCTTATTGTTAGCCCCTTTCCGATCGGAATTGTGTAAGAAATACAAAACTGAGCTCGATGATGTAACTGGGACACGAGATAAGGTGCAACGCTCCACGTAAACGCGCGTGACATCGTCGGAGCAACGGTTCCATTTCTATCTCTTCTTATTCTTTCTCCTTTTCCTTTCAAACGAAACCGTGTTTGTTCTCTGAACCACCTAGTTTGCTCTTGCTATTGATATCGCTCGCCAGTTCTACCACACCGGGTACAACAACTTCGTTCCTATTTCTCTTCGAAAAGATTCCGTCGTTTCTTCCCGTTCAATTGTTGCAAAGAACAGATCAACTTGCTTCTAACATTCGTGCGATCGTCGTACGCTTCGAGGGTTGATACCTGCAACGATCTATAAATCGTTATATACCATCCTTAATGAAACTTTCACAAGAAATGGAAAGTTTCTCGTCTTGGTTCAGGTAAGTTCTGTTATACTTCTATTCCAATCTTACGATACAATCCGTATCTTCGATTTTCTCAGAAGCATAATCTTGCTCCACCGAAATGTACATACACACTTCACGAAAAATTCCACGACATCGAAGTTTCTCTCGATTCGTTCTCCGATCCCTCGAGGTCAGGCTAGACGCTGACCGTTTAAGAGACACGAACGAAACGATCTTCCCTATATTAATCGTACGAGTGATGAAAAGTGAATCCGAACAGCGTCTATCTGGTGTGGAAAAAGATCATCTTCCGTAGAGAAAATTCAGCTCAGGGCGTTCCCATCGGCGGTAAGCTCGAGCACACAGGTGTGAGCTTACAGGTGTTGCCGCTTCTGCCTGATAAGAAGCATACCCGTGACGTCAGATCACCGCAGGTAGAGTATATGAGTCGGACCGGAGAGACATTCACGTCACTCGTTCTTGAACACCTTCGTTCGTTTGTTCTGGGCAAAGTTGTTCGTCGGTTATCATTCTTCTGGTCATCAAGTTTGTTGTACGCCACTTTTCGGCGTTTTTTCTTTTCCATTTCTCTCTCTCTCTCTCTCTCTCTCGCTCTCTCTCCCTCCCTCCCTCTCTCTCTCTCTCTCTCTCTCTCTCTCTTTCTCTCTCTCTGGCCGCATTTTTCTTTTTCCCGCAACGATGACGCGCGAACTGACCAGAGGTTTCCAGCGGAATGCACGTTCGTCCGGAAGTTCTAGCGTGACCAGTCGTCGTGTTTCGTGAGACCGGGGGGTACCAATCAGGTAAGTCGCAGAGGTTCCACGGATTTTCCCTTCAAATAGATCACAATTTATATATATCATGTTGTATCATTTTTTTCTTTCTTTTTTCATTATTTAACGATAAAAATTGAAACGTGCAAGGGTACAGCAAGTTACTGGGGAACGATATTTCCATTTTGTGAATTACGTGGAAAAGCGGAAAGTTTCGTTTGTTTGGGGGAACACGTCCGTCTCCGTCGTCGGTTCTCTCGATGTTCCCCGCGACCTCGTGTAAACTAGCAGCTGGAATTCTTCGCTGCGGTAGCCTTTTCATGTGTAAATTCGACGGATAATAATTGCTGTTAGAGAGAAGACACGTCGATTTCGCGTTCGAAACACGACGATTATGTAACGTGCGGGCACGGTTAATGAAACATTTTACGGCGATAACTGCTATTGAATTTTCTAGGTACGTGGGAGCTCAGTTCGCGGCAATCTTTTTCTTCCAGCAAATATCTATCGGCGCAACGATAAGAGAAAATCTCGTTATTCGGATACTTTTTATTTTTTCTTTTTTTTTTATTTTCGTACGTGTTGCATTTTTGTTCGCGTTCATTTTGTAAATATCGCGATGGATGAGCAAGCATCAGGTACCTCCGTGGGATAATTTGTCCGGTTAATTGTATCGATTTGTTTTTTCAATCGATCAGCGTATCGGAGAACATGTTTGATAATGAAATAACCGCAATCACCGTGATAACGAAGTAACGTGTGCCCGATATTTATTTAAACGGTTGCAATATCGATAGATCGGGGTAGGATCTTTCGTTCGTTAATATTCGACTTTTTTCTTTTTTTCTCTTTTCTCTATCTCTCTCTCTCTCTCTCGAGTGAACCACGATAAAAGTGTTACACTCGTATTGCCACGTTAATGAAGTCATACTTTCGGCAAATAGCTGTGCAATTAAGATGATAACACGAAAGTCATTAAAACTCGGTAAATAGACTACGATGAAGCAACGAGCATCAGGTGCGTCGTTACACTGATTTTATCCCCCCCCTCCCCATACACTTTTATCTCATTCAAGACAGTTTTACGATCCTCGAAAAGGCTATTTTTAAATGAAAAATTTCATCTCCAGTGAAATATCATGCAGGTATGTATTGTACATACATATCGGTTGGAAACTAAACAGAAGAAAAAATCCAATTGCCGAAGGATTTTCAGTTAATACTTGTACGTCAACTCGTTATCGCTTTTATCGCATCGCCTACTGATAACGTGTAATCGTTGGCTTCTCTCAAAGACGATATTCGATATTTGTCGTCAGGTTCAACAAATGCGAGTTTTTATTTATTCTCACGGGTACACAGGGATAGAAGAGTATGTGAGAAACACACACACACACACACTCATACACACGTGTGTTTTAGTAACTGTTCAAATCTCGCGGTACCACTTCATTTGTGCAACATTGTGAAGTTCTCGTTTATGCAACGAAGTAACAAAAGGAGAAGCATAAATTTCGTTGCAATATTACGCAAACATGACTGCTACTTATGGCACAATAACGCGATTTACAGGTATTTCGTATCGACGAAGGCCACGGGACAGGGCACACGCTATCATCGTGTAATTATCATTTCGTTAATAAATGGTGTATCATCGTGTGTTACATATGAATAATACATGGACGGGTTAAATGGTACATGGGTGTATAGTAAATGTTCTATGATTATTCCGAGTGTGAAATTTACGGAGCGATAAGGGGGAAGAAAAGAAAGATACAGGGGGAAGATGTATTGCAAATAGAAGTAAACTGCTTCCAGTCTACGGTCTTGAATGTTTGCCTGTTTAAGCAGTTGCTCGGGAACCAGTAAAAATGTCAACTGAACAAATAAGAGATCTACAGTCCTATGGTGAGTCTATCATTGGGAAAGTTTCATCGTTTTGTATTACGTTTCGGTTTATTTGGAAATTAGTTATTATCCGTTAATTAGAGCCGACGGTATAGTTAACGCACAGGCACAGTTACGTATCGGTGGCAATTTACGATTCAATTAGCCACGGTTGTATTTTAAAGATTTTCAGTTTTCTTGTTAGCTTCGGTTCTTAAAGATTGTTTTGTTTTTTCTTTTTCTTTTTCTAACTCACGGAATACCCGTAAAATTAGTCGTGACTATTTTCTTACCTATACGCGATATCGTCAGATAACGGTTATCGACAAAACGAATTATTCAAACTTATCTCTCGGATTGACAGAGAATTATCGATCGATTCAGAGTTCGATCTTTTGTATCGAACGTTTTGACGTTACTTGAAAAGTCTATTAATAGGTTAATATCGGTAATCTATGAATTGTTCTGTATCGAAATTCGCCGGATTGATTAAGCTTCGGTTTGGAATTTCGTATGTATTTTCAGGCTGAAAAAAAAAACGTTCGTGTAAGCGCATCGGAACGAAGAAGGAAGGGAAGTGTTAACGACTCGTGGCACGAGTTAACGCGCTGAGGTTATGTTTACCGCGCAATCAGGTGGCAGCGCTAAAGAGGAAGAGGCTGCTCGCACCTTCCCGATAACAAGTAAAACTGCTATGCCCGCGCTACGCTCCACCACGGCGACAATTTCTATCTTTCAGCATTATTCTCTTTCCAATACCCCGATCTTCTTCTTCTTCTTCTTCTTCTTGGTTTAACGTTCAATGAAATATAGATCTTTTGGGAAAATTCCATTTCTTTCATCTGCGTGCAATACTTCGAGGGCTACTGATTGGCTAAAAAGTTGCGTTTGATTGTCTTTTATATTGCGAGATATTATATGTTTGTAACTGATGTTTGTATATCGCGTAAAACTTTCACAGCATCGAGATGCAACAAGGAAGAGATGAAATGAAGAGCAAGAAAAGGCATGCGCTATGAAGAGAGCTATCCATCGACAGTATGGTGATAGTAGACACTGTCATGGAGTTGCTCTCTTTGTGGACACCGCTGTGTTCGACAATCATCAACAATAAAAATAGAGTAAATTTTTCAAACAAGCAACACGATATCTTTATTAAACGACTTACAAATTGTACGCAATTATTTGTTATTAGTTGCGCCTTTTGTAAGCATAAGTGGAAATTCACTTACTTGTTCGAATTTATCTGCTTGCTACCCGAAGTTCAAACGGATGCTGCTCCTTCTGCTGTTCACTGTGAGATTCCATTTTCCTTCACGGCAAATAGTATTTCATGTTTTTCTTTTGTCAAACAGTGTATTGTGTGCAATAAAGTTTTTAATTACCCTTCATTCTCGTTCGTTTAAGTCTTTCCTCCTTCGTAAAAATCAAAACGGCGACAATTCTTTCTTTGTTTTTCATGTTATTAGTGAATAGCTTGGTTCCGTGATGGCGCGCGCATCTTAGATATTGGCGCGCATTTTTTGTGAAGAGTCAAAATTTAATACTACAATGACGACAGATAAGTCTAGTTTAAATTACCTTCTATTTTTATTGTTTGCTATCGCGTAAAAGTGCATTCTCTAATTTTTCAAAGTTTGAAATTTAATTTAAGTGATTTTACTAGTCAAGTAAAATTACCAAATTTCTAAATACATACATGCGAATAATGTGGCAAATTGGTAGTGTCGTATGCTGACTTTGTAGAAACTGTCAAAGTGGTTGCGAAATCATGTGCAACTGAAAAATGATTTCGTAGTTGTAAGGGATCTATAAAACAGCCAAGAGGCACCAGACAGCAAACAAGAGATGTTAAATCTGTGATATATTAACCGTGATAGCACATAAGCTGATATAATGCGAAGAGTCATTCGTGCTTCGAAGATGGTAATGCGGTATCATAAATAACTTCATTTAGAGATTGTGATAAGTATAAATTCGTGTACACAATGTATATAAGAAATAAAACAGTTCCCAAAAAATGAGAATACTTAAACAAATTTTTTAATATCTGATTCATTGTTTCTTTTCAATAAATTTATACCACAATTGCAACAAAATATTATCGAGTTAATTCTAATTACTACTTGCTGCTATTTTTTATACAGTTAAATTAGAGACATTTAGAATATTATTGTAATTACTTAAGAATGAGAGGGGTAATTTAACGAACTTAATCGGTAATGCAGATTTTGCATTGCGAACATGGCAACAAGTTAAGCCACGTCTTAATATTGCTACCAATGTAGTTAGAAATCAACTATATTTTTCATTTTTCAGTAGTGTTGCGCATAAAAGAATAAGTTTTATACGTAAAGTAAGAAAGACGTTTCAGGCGCAGTGGATCTTTTTATTAGTTCTTATGTTTAAGTAAATGGGGATAATTAATGTATCGCACCTAGGAAATTTTTGCAATGTAATTCATGTATGGCTACATTGCATTGTAATATAGTACATGAAGTTGGCACAAAATGGATGCTGCTTGCAAATACTTCAATTTCAATTAAACATCGATTTACAAAATGGGAAACCAATTAGTCGGTATCGCGCCTAGTCAAATATTTCCAGTAGAACACTATTTGACGGACCATAGTGACTTATTATTTGATGTAAAGTGAGTACTACGATCCAAAATTGTGAAAGTGGTCTTACCTTTTATACCAACCTATGTTCTGTTAAACTTTCGCTCAACATATTCAATGTATATTAAAATATTTTAGTAGCACCTATTTGCATAAAAAGAATATTATACTGTCATTTGTTTCATGTAGATCTAAATTATTGTACATAAAAACTGAATTATATAAAATACATATGAGTTCTATTCATGTACTTTTGTTATTAACAATCATTCTTTACGTATCTGCAGTTTAGGAAGTACTAGATTTTTTAAAGTGGCACGAGCCAGGAGCCAAGAGGGTCTTATAGTAGTTAAAGTTTTTGCTATTCATGATCCTACACTTCCTCTATCTGCTTATAAAGAAAAGCTTGAAGAAATTAGGTCTAAACTAGCATCTGCTGTAAATTGCCTACCTTTTCAAAGAATGATTGTGAGTACTTTTGCTTAATATTCATGTTGTGTGATTTATTATGGATTGCCTTATAATTATATATTTATATTAGCTCACAGAAAAAGCAGGATCAATAATGAGGGAATATGTGAAATATTCCCTTTATGATAGAATTAGTACCAGGCCATTTTTAACTAGCATAGAAAAAAAGTGGATTACATTTCAAGTCTTATATGCCTTACACCAAGCTCATAAGGTGAGATAATATTTAATGGATCGTAAATATTCAGTTGTATTATTGGAAATTTTTACATTAGACAGTTATTTCATATGTAAGTTAGTCATGTTATAGAGTTCCAATTCTTTATTCCTTGAAAACCAATTCTTAGCTGTTAAAAGGACATATTAAAATGCTTCTCACTGTTGATACAGTTGATATACAGCTTTGTATAAAAAGAAATTAAAATATCACTTCTCATTTGACTATAGTTTGGAGTCTGCCATGGTGACATAAAGTTAGAAAACATTATGATAACCAGTTGGAACTGGATCTTACTCACAGACTTTGCAAGTTTTAAACCGACTTATTTACCTGAAGATAATCCTGCTGATTTTTCATATTTTTTTGACACATCCAGAAGAAGGTACATAAGTGAATAATACATTCTCTAATAATCATAGTTATTATGGTAAATTGTTTTGTTTCAACATTTCAGAACATGTTATATAGCTCCAGAACGGTTTGTGAAAACATTATCTTCAGAATTAAGCAATACATTGTTACTATCAGAACAAGAGCTAAAAACTGGTGACTTGCACCCAATGATGGATATTTTTTCTGCAGGCTGTGCTTTAACAGAATTGTATAATGAAGGACACCCACCATTTGACTTTTCTCAACTACTAGGTGCGTGTAATATATGTACAAATTGTATATAAACTATTTATGTGATATTACTCTAAACAAATATTTAAAAACTATTTTGTTATAATGTATTAAGCATATAGAAACAGTGAATATTCAGTGAGCAAGCATTTGGATACAATAGAAGATTTAGGAATACGCGAATTGCTTGCATCTATGTTAGAAAGGAATCCAGCAAATAGAAAAAGTGCTGAAATTTACTTAGCTCAAGCTCGTGGCACAGTATTTCCGGAATACTTTTATTCATTTTTACAATCATATATGCTTATTTTCCTTGCTGCTCCAATTTTATCACCTGATGAAAAAATAAACAGACTTAAAAAAGATATTGGCAATATTATTAATATTTTAAAAGCAGAAGAATGTGGAAAAATGAAAAATGACTTAAAAAACGTAGAAACCATGAAAAGTAGCCAGTTTGAAAACAATGTAGAATCAACTAAGGATGATTCTGGTCACAGTGAAGAAAATACTATTGTAGAAGTTGATAGTGATCAAAGTTTTGATAAAAGTGATCTGAATCAAATTGATACAAGAAGTGTTTCAATTCAAGATAATAAGTGTGATAATCAAACAGATCAACAATCAGAATCTAAACTACCTGAGGATCAAAAACAAAAACTAGATTTAGAAAGTGAGAAAAAGGCTTTAACTCCAGAACCTCTTGAAGGATTAGTTATTATAACTCAGCTCGTCACTTCGTGTATACGAGGTTTACATCACTCTCAATCTAAATTGCAAAGTTTAGAAATATTACTCGAACTTGCTGAAAACACATCAGATGAAACAATATTAGATCGGATTTTGCCTTATATTGTAAGTATTTTAAGAGGCAGTGTACATAATCCTAATAGTATTAACGAAATTTATCTAATATGTTGTGCAGTTTCATTTAGTTCATGATCCTGCTGCACGAGTCCGAGTATCAGCCATACATACTTTGACAAAATGTTTACATCTTGTAAAATCAATTCCACCTTCAGATGTAAACATTTTTCCAGAGTATATTCTACCCGGTTTATCACATATCACTCAAGATGAAGCAGTGATTGTTAGAGCTGCCTACGCGGAAAATATTGCACATTTGGCACACATTGCATTACGTTATTTAGAAAATGCTCATTTATCTAACTTAGGTAACAAGGAAGGTCCAAAGCCAAGTTATGATAACGAGCTTCAAACGTTACATGAAATGGTAATTAATTAAAGTATTTGTAATGGTTAGTGTATGCTATACACTAAAATGTGTAATATTATTAGGTGCAACAATCTGTGTCCATGTTATTAACAGATCCTCAGAATTTGGTAAAACAAACGTTAATGGAAAGTGGAATAAATAAACTCTGCGTATTTTTTGGTAAACACAAAGCTAATGACATTCTACTTAGTCATGTTATTACTTTTTTAAATGACAAAGAAGATAAAGAATTAAGAGGTTCTTTTTTTGAATGTATTGTTGGTGTGGCTGCTTATGTTGGGTATCATAGTAGTCCTATTCTTATGCCTCTCCTTCAGCAAGGATTAGCAGATCCTGAGGAATTTGTAATAACAAAAGCTATTAACACCATGGCAACTCTTACAGAACTAGGTCTCTTAAACAAGTCTGCTCTGTATCAACTTTTGCACGAGACTATGGTCTTTCTAGTAAGTTGTATTTCATCAATTTTGATAATTAAAAGACGGGAGTACTTTATTTTTTTAAATATCTGGTACTTAAAATCTTTTATAGGTGCATCCAAATTTATGGATAAGACATGCGACTGTTGGTTTCATATCTGCTGCAGCAAGAATGCTTAACTTAGTAGATGTTCAATGCAAAGTTCAATCAATGATACAGCCGTATTTAAAGCACCCATTAATTCAAATAGAAAAAGAAATTTTATTATTAGAGGCCTTGGTATCTCCCATACCAACAATTGTTTACACTTCTGTTCTAAAATATAACGATATAGGAGAATTGTTTCAAGTTCTCGAACAAAGGCAAGCAGCGCGAGCTAAAGCTGCGACGGGAATAGTACCACAGTATAATGAAATAAGTATTTCATTACAAAATGTAAGTTATAAATTCTGTTGATAAAAATATGCTACAATTATCGGGAAACGTAGACAAAGTGGTTTTAGCTTTTCAGACGATTAAGTTCAGAATCAATGACTGACACTGTTGAAGATCAGTTATTAGTCATGAAACCACATTTAATGAAGATCAATAAGTATCGCAGTGCGATGGATGCGAAACAGAACACAATGAAATCAGTGGACGGGAAATTAGAATTGAGTACTATGAAAGATAGAATACGACATCATATAGTAATATTATATCCCGACACAAAAACTGACCTAGGTCTTCCACCATTTAAACGATTAGATCGTAGAACGTCCGATAGTGTTGGCACATATGCAGCGATGAATCAAGAGTGGCGTACGATGTTTGCAGCTCAAGATAATATTCAAGTAATTAAAAGCATAAGTTATATTCATTAGAAAAGTTTTATAAAGTAGTAATAAATTTTTCATTATGTCATAGCATACTGTTAAAATTTCGGATATGACAGGAAGTAGTGGAAGTCCTAATCAAAGTTTACATGGAGGGGATATTCATTTATCACCACAACATAGTTTGTCTGATATGAACAGCATAAATGATCACTCTCTTCACGAGCGATCATATATTCAATGTATGTTTCTTGAAAATGTTCTTTTAGATTGATCTATTTTTTTACAAGAAAAAGATATAGCTCGGTATAATTTTTCAGACAGATGTGCACCTTGTAGATTAGAAGTACGACAATTAACATATAGAAAGCAAGAACAACATGCTGCAGCATTGAGAGCACAGCATTGGTCTGATAATATTGCATGGCAAACTGGTAATGAACAATTATAAAAAATATACTTTATAGATGTAATATTGGCGTATTTTCTAAGTATTTGTGATCTAAAAAGGTTCAAGATTATTGCCCAGCGGATGGAGTCCTCGAGGAATACCAGTTGCACATCTTCACGAACACAGAGCTGCTGTAAATAGGTTAGTTTCTATACCAGACACTAGTTTATTTGCCAGTAGCTCTGCTGATGGATGCATCAAAATATGGGATGCTAGCAAAATGGAAGGTCGAAACATTGCTAATCGTTCTAGGTATATTTTTAAAATTTTCTTTATACGTATATTATTATTTTAAGTATAATACATTTCACATTTTCATTCTATTAGGCAAACTTATATGCATAGGGGTGGACCCCTAGTTGGTTTAGCGGTATGCGATCAGGGACAATCATTAGCAAGTTCTGCGAGCCAATCAGGCACAGTATTTGTTTTACGTATCGAATCAAATTCTAGTAAAATGAGTGTTCTTGGTACTAGACAATTAGATCTTCAGGTGCTTATAAGTTACTTATTTTTTATATTTAAATATTTAGATAAATCAATGTTACATTCTCGAAATATTTCATTTAGGAAGAAGGATGCGCAGTTGATTTACAGTATTTAGATTCCGGTTCACAATCGGTTCTTGTATATGCGTCATTATACGGTTCATTAGTAGGATGGGACTTAAGGTGTCCTGGTACAACATGGCGTTTAGAAAATGACTTAAAACATGGAGTAATTACGTCGTTTTGCGTAAACAATTATCAACAATGGTTGACTCTTGGTACAAGTTCCGGCGTTCACACATGTTGGGACCTGCGGTTCCAATTACCGATAACCAGTATTAAACATCCTCACAGTAAATTTACAAATCTTTTAACTTTACATAAAACAAGCCATCTCAAATCACCTTTAAACTTTATAAAGTGTTTTTGACGTTAGATGCAAGAGTGAGGAAGGTAATCACTCATCCTACAGAACATTCGTGGATTATTTCGGCTGTGCAAGGAAACAACGAAATTTCAATGTGGAATCTTGAAACTGATTTTCGACAAACGGTTCTATGGGCGTCGAAGGCACCTCCGCTTAGTCATTCACAAGGTGGTCACAGTGTATGTGCAATGTATTCTGGGTGCATTGACCGTTCAGGTTTCCTATTAGCTGGCGGCACTGACATGAGGTTGCGTTTTTGGGACTTAAATACACCCAACGAGTCACATATCGCACTGCCTGCAGCTAACGATGTTACTTCTCCGAATTCGTTCGCATATGAGTTAGTACTTATGATAATATTTACTTAAAATAACACAATTTACATCACGATTGACATAATGTGATGTGCATACGCGTTTTATCATTTTACAGACAACGTTTAATAGATGGAACTAATGTAGTACTAGAAGTCTTAGCCAGTGGTGGTCCTACTCCATCATCCGGAGGAAATAGTGCTGTTAGAACGAGCAATTCCGAAGAAGGTGGTCAGGGTCCTGAAACTCCACCATCTGGTCACCATGACACGATTTCCGCCGTAGCTATGTCGAACACGTGTATCCTTACTGGTAGTACAGATGGATTGATACAAGTTTGGAAATGATTGTTTTCTCTTCTGTCATGACATGTTCCAAAATTGCACACGGTGTACAAATTTTTCTAATGTATCACAGATTTATTCTGGGAGAAAACAATTTCGGGTTGGACATCGAGATTTTTTATGGTTGTACTCGCGTGCTACAGTAACTCTGTGATTTTTATTTGTACATAATATGTAACACACACACACACGCGCGCGCGCGCACACACGCATAGGAGAAAGAGCCTGTTGTACTGTAATATATATATATATATATTAAGATGGCAAATTAATAATACTTAGTTTTAGACAACGTGATGGTAACGAGTAATCGTGCGGACATGATACAAATGAAGACGTACTAAAGCGTACGATTAATGTACAAAAAAACAAAAAATGAAGGAATCGTAAAAACAAATTATCCCTTGATACATAATTTATACTGGCAGCTATATACGACTGCGTACTTTTATGATATTAGTCCAATAGAGTAAAAACTTGTATACCGACTGAAATACTCATAATCAGCGGATATCTTCGTATTCCCTGACATTGTTACAATAAATTCATATTTTTAACGCATTTTCATAGTCCAATTATTCAATCGTGCGTACTTTCGATGAATTTCCTTGATCACCAAGGACAAACCGGTGATGAGGGATAGGGAACCCTACCCGGAAACGTGTAAGGATCAGGATTTATCACTCTGCAGATCTCCTTCCACCTATTATTCCCCGTTTTTCCCTGCCGTCGATTCTCATAATCAGAACTTTGATAATTATAGGGTTTTTTGCCGTAAAAAATGTTGAACCACGGGGCTGCAGACACAGTAGCGATCAGCAATAAAAACAAGAATAATATCTTCATCTTATCTAGAGTTATTTCAAAATTCGCCACTTTAAAAATCAGCAAACACCTGAAAGTAATATAAATCAACGAATGTACTAATTTTATGTTAAACAACCGGATGACAAGCTATTATCACATGTATTTTACCGTTTCGTATTTTTACTTTCGAACTTCACACTTTCTGAACAAACTGATTATAGCGACACTTCTCTCCCTTTAACTTCTACTTCACTGTCCGAATATGATCAACTGAACCGGCAAGAATTTGTTTTTACGCAAATATCCGGCCACTCACAATTTTCCTTTTCTTTTTTTTCGACAGACTTACGAAAGAGTTTCAACTGTACTGTAACAAGTACATTCTCGCAATGGAGAGATGCTGGATGCTTACTGCTGTTTTATACACCAACACTACCCTACCGCTCGGGAAAAAAAATGAGCTTGTAAACACGTACATAACTATCACTAATTGATTCATATCATTCCGAGAATGTACACTTTAGATCCACGTTCGAAATCTTATACGTATTTTTATACGTAGAGCAATTCACATCACTTTATCCATATGAATTCATCTTTTCGTCAAAAAAGGAATAATATTTCACTTAACACGTACTCTTTTTAATGTTTTATCCAAAAAAATGTAAAAATGAAGAATTTTTTTTTTTGTAATGTCGACACTGTCTATCGAAAGTGTCATTTTTAACTGATCAATTAAGATCATTTTGTGATACACGTATGCAAAACGCCGTGCGGAACCGGCGTCTCTCCGTCGCATTGAACTTGGGGAATACCCTATCTACATATTGTCTGATGCGAATTAAAGCAGACTTTTCATTCACGACGCGTACATTTTTTGTATTCTGTCCGTGTAGAAATTCTGTCACAAGAAAACACACGGTAATATAAGGGATGTCGACTTAATTATAGCTACTCATTTACTTGGAATGTCGGTACGCAGTAATTGCAATCTCATGTTTATACAATCACGTGCATTTACCATTAAATCACCATTATAAAAGAATCTTCGATCGGTACGATCGATCTGTCTCTCCGTTATTTCCTCTTCTCGTTACGTTCATCTCTTTGTTTCATTTCTGAAGATGCTGCAAAATTGTCACGAATTCATTCACAAAACCTTCGCGTAAGTACTACTAATGTTGTTGATCACGACCTAACCCAATGATCTTATGTCAAGGTTGACGTTCTTGATATACTATCAATTAGAATAAATCAAAATTCTTATATACATACATAATATCTTCATGACATTTCAATGCCCATTTCATTTCAATGACAATGTCTACTTCAAAGTCCATTTAAGAAGGAATAACAATCATTTTTCCCTGTAAGTATACAAAATAAATGTATGCGTGTAGTTTGAGTGATACAACGTGGTCCATAAGCAGAAAGAACAAATTTTCAAAATCTGAAAGAAAAATATTGAAATGTTAATTAGAAAAAAGTTATTAAATTTTTAAATTGTAAAATTGCTTATGAGCCACCCGGTATTTCATATAGTTGCACTATAGAAGAAAATTACTATATTACAGCTTGTATCTGATAAGTCACGAAATAGTAGAGGCAGGTTGCGCATAATCACACTTATTAAGGTTCACTATGACTAGCCGTTACTATTTCCTATTACCGTAATAGCTGGTTTCCAGGCTGTCGAACTATTAATAGCATTTGGCAGAGAAAGTACACTCTGTAGATTCTCGTGAAGGGGTTTGCGGTCCTCGAATAATTTTCTCGACTTTTAACGGTTCTGATCGCTACACAACTTTCGCAACTTGTAGTCGATTTTCGAGTTTAAACCGAACGATAAGGGAATACGGGTCACGGTCAACTGGATCTAATTACGTCAATTTAGTTTTGATAAAATGTTTAATTAGGGAAACTCTATTCTTATATAATACTGCACCTTTGTATTTCCGCTTTGAAAATTCCGTTTTGCCGAAAGGAAATAAAAATTCAGATGCGGATAAATGAATCACCAAACGTGGGAGTTGAGTAAAATAAAATATATTTTACGCATGTTCATCCATTTAGTATTCCCCGCGATACACGCGGATGGAAACAGATGAATAAGAAGTGATTTCTATAATAAGACATTGGTAGAAGAATAGGATACGTCAGACGATATTTTATACACGCTTCTTCCTAGTAAATAAATAATTTCTTTGTCTCGTTTAAAATGAAAGATGAACATGATTTTTGTTTCGAATGAAAATTCTTGAAAACAATGTATTGCTGTGGTACGATAAGAACTGGAATAAGATATTGTTTTCTTCACACTCCAAGTTTATAGCTACTAAGATGGTAAATTGTCTAAATATTTTGAATAGCAGTTTCCTTGAAACTGTTTCTCGAAGTCTGCTGCACTACGTCAGTTCTCCTTTACTTCTGATTGAGAAAGCTTCTGCATTTCGGTATTCCCGAAAATCTAACCGATCGCGCAAATTTTTCGTTCCTTCCGTTGATATCGAAGCGACCAAGGATGACGGCACCTAAGTAATACATCTTTTTTTTATTCTGAAGTAAACAGAACTCTTTTTTCACTGCAAGCGTTTTTTTCCATCCTAGAAATTTTTAACGATTGAAATCGTGCCACGATAATGTCCAATAGCTTCAATATCGATGATAAGAGTAACCAGAATATTCTAAATCGCGTAAGCATCTCGCTAAAAATGCATCGAAGCTTTAAGAAAGTGAAGAGGAGCATCCAAAAGATAACTGGTATGTCGGTAAAAAAAGAAATTCGAACTCGCAATAGAAAAATTGCAACACTAAATCACTGACCCGACGTAAAACGAAATCGCAAAATCGTTTCGATTTACCGCACCGCGGTAACTGCTATCCTCTTGTACATATCGATACATAAAATATTATCGATCGTTTTAACGGAACAGAAAAATTATCGTACAAAAGTATTTTCAATACTTTTAGAAACTTCGACGAGTGTTCAACCTCACTGCGTTTTCGTAGAGAACATGCAAGATGATGAGAAACAACCGCCGTATATATTTCCGGAACGACTTTCCTCTTTAACGTGCCAAACTGGATTCTCGAAGGATGAGATACGAAAGCTGTATCGCGCTTTTAAGCAACATTGTCCGAGAGGAGCCGTGACTACGAACGATCTAAAACCAGCTTACGCAAAATTATTTCCGTTAGGAGACCCAGCGAAGTACACGCAAATCGTTTTCAACACCTTCGATAAGGACAGGGATGGTATCGTCAGTTTCGGGGACCTTCTCACTGAAATATCATTGATTGCCAATGGTGACGTCGATGAAAAGCTCTCCTGGATCTTCAGGTGATTATTTAATCAGATCACGTTGTTCGTAACGCGTTTAATGGTACTTTCTACTCTTGCTTCCCATTAGGTTTTACGACCTGAACGGAGACGGTTATATCACAAGAAAAGAAATGTTGGTCATAATATCCGCAATTTATGAGATGCTACATAACGGGCAAACCATTCAGCGAATGGTCAACAGACATGTAGACAAGGTTTTCGAGAAGATGGATGTTGATAAGGACGGTGTTATATCTCAGGAAGAATTTATGAATAGTTGTAAAAATGTACAGTAAATAATATAATTTTTATTAATTTAATTCATAAAACGTAATATAGTGAAATACGAATTGTATGTTTTACAGTAAATTTTTATTTCAGGATATTGTCATTCAAAATCAACTGGCAATATTTAATAAATTTTGGTAATAAAGTTTGCATATGCATTGAGGTTTCTAAGTTGTATTATTTTTAGGAAAAATGCAGAAATTTTTCTATGTCATAAATGTTCTTATTTCCATAATAAAATAGTACAGTTACAAAACACAGCTTTTTCTCGAAGTTAAATAACAAATAACGTGATAAATAAAGGTATTAACAATTCAACCATACTTCAATGGACATTTTTTTTCATGAAAATATGGTCTTTACATTTCAGTGTACAAAAATTTGTACTTTCAGAACAGTCTTTTTTGTAGAATATAAAAGACACAGGCAAGGAAAAATGCAAATGCCAATGCTACTAAAGCTTTATCTGTAACTTCTCTTCTACCATATTTGCCTAAAAGTTTTCCAGATTGAACTATAGCTTGTTGTTGATGTTCTAATTCATCTTTGGTGCTGGTAACTTTATCTGATGATGTTACTGCAAAAGTTTAAAATAATAAATTAGAAATTATATCTTAGTCTTTAAAATGTGTTATAATAGAGCACATACTTAGTGTGTCCAATGTGTCTGCACTTTTTTGAGTTGTTTCAGCTAAATGCCTAGATATACTTAAAAGTTTATCAGACAGTTGACTTGATGAGTTTGCTATACTTTTTTTGTCATGTCTTCTACGAACAACAGCTTGTTGCTCTTCAGGCACAGAGAGTAGTTCTTCTTTAGCAAGTTTATCTATCACACACACACTAACAACATTGGCTTTGCGAAATGCAGCCAAAGAAACATTAAGTTGTTGTTTATAATTATCTACTTCTGCCAATAATTCTGCTTTCTTTTTCTCTGAAGATTCTCTTTCTGCCACTGATGCCAATTTATCTATTGATGATTTTAAAGCTGCTATTTTTGCTCTGCCTTCTGCATTCAACTCGTTGAGCAATTCTAAAGGACCAGTACATTGCAAAATATCCTAAAAAATGTGTATTAGTCACTTAAAAGTAGAAAATAAATGAAAACAAAAGCGCAGCTGTCTTTTATTTAACCTCTAAAGTATATCTTATACACGTAATTACTGTTACATTAAAAATTTCATGAAAATTCATTATTTACTATAACTTTTTTTTATAATAGACATAAACAAATGATGTAATTAATATATTTTACTTATACTATGCCGCATTAGGATAATAATTTATTTAATGCCGCACTGTAGTTCAGGTTATATTGCAATTATTATGAAAAATTTGTATCTTTAATTAATATTTACTTGTATTAAAGCCGTAACTTGAAGGTGATTTTTCACAATATCTTGGTAGATAAGTTCTATTGCATGGTGCCCGGAGTCCATTGGGACACGTGTTTTTTGACAGTTCTTTTATGTGACTTACATATGTTGACTGTAAAATGGAATGTGACTTTAATACTAATTAACACGTGATGCAAAATCGAAGATTTCAAATACTGATAATTTTTTATATGAATATTTCATTAAATTATACAGAATGTATTCAAGCATAGTGTTTTCAATATTGTTTTAATTAAATTTTATAAATGTTAACGTTAAATTAACGTATTTTAAATACTTCTGCACGATTCTGCAACTTTTTATATTTTGTAAATTGTACAGAAAGTAAAACAATTAAAAATGCAATGAGGTTATGTCATAGAATGTATAAGGATGTGAGGTAGTATAATTTATTAATGTACAATTAGAGTATTACACTATTATCATACAACTGGCATTGTTTGTTACAAACACAGTTCCAATTATAAATATAGTGTTAACACCAAAAATGGTGGCATTTTTATTTATAATAGGTAATTTTTTTTAATAAAAACCTAATATTATAATTTAGATTTGAAACAGATTAGTTACAGTCTATGATAGGATAATACTATGTAATGTAACATAGTCATCTTAAATATTCCTAACAATATGAAACGGATACAGTGCTTTTGTTCTATGTGATTCTATGTTACATAAGTCTCTTTAAAATTAACGGAGACCCGAGTTTAACGAAGAGAGTTTATTACAGCAGTTGTAAACTCTGTTGTGGAACTCTGTCCACCTAAATCTTTTGTTAATGTTTTCCCATCATTTAAGACACGATTTAATGCATCCTTAATTTGTTCAGCGTAACGTTTTAAATTCACGTGACGCAAAAGTTTTACAGCACACAGAAGCATGGCAGTAGGATTTGCAACATTTTTACCCACAGCTTCTGAATATGTGTGCCTTGCACCCTGTATGATAAATAAAATTTTGTAATGTTTTATGTATATTTTAAAAGAATTCAATCATTTTTGTATGGTCTACTGAATAATCTTACCGGTTCAAAGACAACACATTCAGGACTGTAACTAGCACCTGCAACCACACCAGCACCACCAACCAGTCCTGATGCAAGATTGTCTACAATATTACCATATAAATTTGGCAGTACCATTACATCAAACTGGTGTGGATTAGACACCATTTGCATTGTACAATTATCCACAATCATTGTTTCAAATGTAATTCTGTAATTACATTAGAAAAGTATCAGTATTATGTTTTAACAATAACCTGTGAAATGAAAGAAATGTTCATAACTACCTAGGATACATTTTAGCAATTTCTTGGCATGACTTTAAAAAGAGACCATCACCAAGTTTCATGATGTTGGCTTTGTGAACACAAGTAACTTTCTTACGATTATGTTTTACTGCATAATCAAATGCAAACTTTGCAATCCTTTGACTTTTAGTGGCAGTTACTATTTTTAAACATTCCACCACACCCTTCACAGATTCATGCTCTAATGCAGAATATTCTCCCTCTGTTTGTTCTCTAATGATAATGCAATCCACATTTTTATGCCGACACTTAACACCAGGTAAAGACTTGACATGGACAACATTTGAATACAAGTCTAAACTTTTACGCAATTTCATGTTTAGTGTTTGTAGCTCCCCGGTATGGGAATGATCTGGTGTTGCTAAAATACCCTATCAAATAAAAACATCATGTAAACTTATATTTTTAGTGTTATCAATTACTAGAACTCTGATTTAAATATTAAATTTAAAAATACCTTTAAGCATACTCTGTTCCTGGCAATACTATTGGATACTTGCTCAAGAGGTGCACTTAGAGTTGGATTTACCTCTGACAAAAAATAAGGTTCAAATTCAACTGGTACATTTGCAGCTTTGAAAACATTTTGAACAGAAACAACTAATTCTGGTCCTACACCATCTCCTGGTATAAGAGTACATTTTATCTTTCCTTCTTGCTCAACTATCTAAAAGAAGAAGTTATATACACACACAGTGATCATTTTGAGAGGATTTTAAAAGGTAGTTCAATACCTACAGTTTCTTGCAGACGTACTGTTCCTACATGTATAGCCCTAACAGCTCCTTTTTGAGCAGTCTGAAAAATAAAAATATTCTAAGCTTGTCCATAAAATTTATAAATCAAGTCAATTGGATACAATTGGGTACAATTGAATGGTAAAAACAAAATCTTTTCCCTAAATATAATTAAATTATAAATATTACGTTGTAAAGCTATATTTATAGCGCTAATGTAGATACGAACGTAACGATTAAATAACACGATTATTGAAGTCGTTTGCTCAATCCGTCTCGTTAATTGAATATAGAATATTTATTTATTTCAATACTTTGCAATTGAAGAGTACTAATGTAATTGTTAAAATTGTATTCTTTGTTAATTAAGAAACTTTCACGTATCTTTGAGAAAAATTATTTTCTATGCAATGTCCTTGCGACAATCGTTGACAGTTTTTGTGAATTAACTGAATAATTCAACAAGATTAGATGATATTTTGATCTCATTGAATTAAAAAAATTGTATTACTTTTACGAAATCAGAGACTTTGTACTTTAATTGAACGCTCTTTACCTGCGAAAATACCTTGCAGATGTTTCTCGCGAGTAAAGCCATTTTCACGATGGACCCTAACTGTCTATCTCACTCTCGCACTTGCATATCAGTAATGTATCAAATCTAAAAATGAACTAGAGCGTTCTTAATCTAATTCCACTAAGAAAAGAAAGCAAATTCCTTTTCAATTGTATTACATAAAAAATTAAGAAATACTTGTAATGTTAATATTTTATTTTTTCATTGGAAATACTAGTTTTAAACATTTATGAATGGTGCCTAAACAGTACAACATATTGTGCGCATGCTATTTACTACGGCCCTGCCATTTACATCGTTTTATTTCGTGTTTTTTCGGAGTAGATCAAGTATAATGACGTTTCATTCCTAAAAATGTTAATGTATAATGCTGACAGCGAATTCAAACGATTCCTCTAGTTTACATATATTTTATATTTACTGCTTTGTCTTGTAAATGTGGAGTTCAAATTTTTATAATGGGTCTATATTAATGAAGCTATAAATCTACGTATTATACTTCAACTTTATTCAGTTATCATACAGAAAGGCAAATAAGCGCGATATTTTGTTCTACCTACGGTCTAATATTTGGCGCCTATTACTTCTGACTAGTTATATCAGCTGTCTGATTCTACTGCAATCGGAAATGTCAAACGCGATAACCTGTTGTATTTCGTTCCAATATTACATAAAAATTCGTCCACTGAAATGCACGCATGTAAGTCGCTTGTTGATTTTTTCCGAAAAGTTAAAATTTTGTAAATAAAAAATTCTAGTGCATTTTCTTGCGATAGGTTTATCGACGTGATTTCGCATAGAAATAGAAACAAGGGTAAAAGGGACCGGAGATAAATCATATAATCTATTTTTATAATATACAATTTTCATAAAAGACATCTCTAATATTTATTATAATTCATAACTAATACAATTAGGTGAAAGTAATTTAAAATATTTCGTGAAAATGACGGAGGAACAATTGCGTGAGTAGTACTTTGACTTGCTATAAACATTTGTTGATTGCTCGTGTATTTTTAATGCGAAATATTTGTTCATAAAGAGTTTGATCGTAATGTTCGTTTATAATATGTATTAAATTTTTTCGTGGCACATGTACTTTACATTTTTTCATGTTAGTAACAACATTATTCAATGATTTTGTGTTAGCAAATAACACATAGATGAGTCATAAACAATAATAAATTTTGCTGTGAATTATTTATTTGAATGTGTCAACTTGTGAAAAGATAACAGCAAGGATGAACATGTTTTGTACTTGTAGAAAACACTGATGTTATATTTTTTAGCACAAGAAGTAACTAAGCATAGTTTTCGGCAAAAAGTATGGGATTATTTGATGAAGAATGAATTAGTAAACTTTCCTCTCCCTGTGTATGATCGTATACCAAACTTCAAAGGTGCTGCTGAGGCAGCATTGCGTTTGGCAGAATTAGAAGAGTTCAAAAATGCAAAAATTATAAAGATAAACCCAGATAAACAGCAAGAACCTGTAAGATTCTTAGCATTAGAAGCTAATAAGGAAATATTAGTTCCAATTCCCAGATTAAGATCTGGTTTATTTCTTCATGTCACACCAGTTGCTGGTGCTTCAAAAAATGAATTGACAACATTGTCAAAGATTCATGGCTTGATGGAAGCTGGTAAACCACTTGGTGTGGACTCTAAGATAAAGGTACATGTTATATATTACTGTAGTAATGGTTCATTATCATCTATATTTATTTTTATAATTTTCTACATTGTTCTTATTTGTTTTCAGATAGATCTTGTGATTATGGGATCTGTATGTGTCAGTCGTGATGGATACAGGCTTGGTAAAGGTAAAGGATTTGCTGATTTGGAATTTGCCATGATGATGAGAATGGGTGCAGTTACACAAGATACTGTAGTAATGACAACTGTGCATGACTGTCAAGTGCTTGACAGCCTTCCACCCGAAATATTCAAAGAATATGATGTACCTGTTGACATAATTGTTACACCTACTCAAACAATAGTAGTAAATCCAAAGTTAAAGAAACCTAGTGGTATTATATGGCATATGCTTAGTGAAAGGAGAATCAAAACCATGCAGGTACTGCAGCAGCTAAAAGAAATGGATGAGAAGTATGCATTGAAAAACATAATTGGTAATATATGTACTTATACATAAATATATTTGATTATTATTCTTTTCTCAGAGAAGGCAAGATAGTAACTTTGAAAGAAGAGGACTCAGATGTAGAAATACAAAAACCGTACAGAAATCGTTCTAATTATGTAAAAAGTAAGAAACATTTTAAAACTAGGAAAGATGTTTCTGGCATTAATGACGCCAATGAAGAAGGAGAGAAACAGCCGATAAAAACGCGTTTTCCTAAAAGGCGTACAAACAATAAGGTGAAATCAGGGAACGACAATAATGTATTTTCTGACGAAGTGGAGGTAAGAAACGTTTATAATCGACGTACACTCGATGTATATATCATTTCGTAATATTTTAGGAAAAAGTGGAAAACAATGATAAAAGTATGCAGCAACGTCGTAAAAATCTGAGGCAGAAATCCAAGACTCAGGTAAACTTTTCTCTAAAATTATCAAATATTCCATCTGGTGCAAGAATACGCGATTTGAAAAATGCTTTATCGGAACGTGGAGTTAAACCAAATGAGATAACATGGTTAGGTTATCGTGGTATCTGTTACCTCCACTTTAATAAACTTAGAAGAAATAATAGCTCGCCGGAACAACCGATACAGGTTGATTCAATAATGGCAAATTTACAAGAGCTGCGTATCGGTGACTCTACTGAAAATATGAATTGTTTCATAGTAGTAGAACCCGCTAAACCGATATCTAGAATCGAAGTCACAGACGTGACTTCCGTTTAGAAAATAGTCGAATACTTCCTGGAAGAGGTATAATTATTTAAAATCGTATATATTCTTTTAAATAATTGTATACTTTCTACCAGTATGTCACGGATATTTTTATATACAAGTTTGTTCTGACGGCGACTGTTCACTTCCACAAATCGATGTTTAATTATAACTGCAAAGTATGTAAAGCTTTATAGGTAATTTATGATATATTCGTGTATGCGTAACAACTGCAAAATAATCACGCGTGTTGTATATAACGAGTTAAATATGCATAATTATCAGTGGTTAAGGCATTTAATTTATAACTGCGTACTTTTGATAGTCTATATCGGGTGAAACCTCATATGGAGATTAACATTTCTGCTCGGAAATTGATCCAGGTTTATGTTGAAATGAAATTTCAATTCTGTACTGTATTTATGCAAGTGAAATACTCTTCTTGATAAAAGTTGCATGCGTATTATTTCGATCGATAAGCTTGCCGATAATTATCGATAATAATTCATAATTCGAAGAACATTTACTGTGATCATGTAAAGAATACTTAACGGCAAGGATGACAAGTTTAAATAACTCTCCTTGCAAGATATATTACGTGAAGATAAATAATCTCGTAAGATGCATATTTAGCATTTTGATAACGCTTATCTGACATTATAGACTGACGATGGTAGTTTAAATCAATCCTTGAATAATAATACAGGGCATACGAAAGTAAAGGCATTCTCTTTTTTCTGTTTATGTATTAGATACTCTATTTTTCTGAAAGAATATTTTGACTGAGAGTAGATATATACAATTTTCATACCGTTGTACCTTGTAGACGTGTATTGCGTCAGAGATCAGATAACGAAGAAAGGTATCTAGTTGTAATGTGTGTGTGTGGTAGCCGACAAAATGGCAATACTTTTGTGATATTAACATAATTAATCGTTCTTAGAACACAAACATAGACGGTTATTATTATTATTATTTTTACCAGCGTTGTTGTTTATTCCTTTATTATTAGTGCTATTATGGAAACCATTCTTACGGGAATAGGTAGAACAATGGGGAAAAAAAAAAGATTTCCTCTGTACGATTATCTTGATCGCGTATCACTGTAAGAATCCGCTGGTCGAATCCTTTTGTGAAGTTTATTTCAACGGATAATAAATAAATTAACTTTTATAATAACAAAATACAGATGATGTATTATTTTTGCTAATAAGAAAAGTTAAACCACAATTCCATTCAATTTTCCTCCCTTTCCTTCACCGTGTTCTATTTCTCGATGCACTATAATCAAATGTCGAACAAGTAATTACTTTATCTTGCCGATTCTCCGTTCTGAATTACTCAGAAAATCGTTAAGAAACTCGTCGGTCGCGCGAGAAGTTTCTGTTTTCGTAATATGGCTAATAATGAAATTACATTAGCTTCGATTGAATCCATTTGATAAGCTTCGAAAACCACTTTATCAAGAACGTGTCTCGTCTTCATAGTCTCCTCTTTCCTTACCTTTGTATTATACTTACGCAAAACAGCCAATCTCGCGAATGATTTTCACGCGATCATCAACGTTAACGAGCATTTTACAAGCGGGAAACGCTTCATGCTCTTTCGCGTTGAATTGCATTAGCCTTGGTTAGGTTTCCAGCAGGCGCTAAGAGTTCCTCCAGACGCTTAAGGAAATTAGAAGTTTTTCCAGACAGACTGACGCGGATAGAGTAAGAGAAAATAGAAATATTTACGGTACATCGAGGATCGTTGATGTTTGCAGATAAAAGCTTGTTTCGCGTGGAAAATTGAATGAGCGCGATTCGATAAATATAATTACATCCGTTCATCACTATAGAGACGCGTTGAAAGAGATGGAGAGGGGGAAAAAGAGAGAGGGTAGGGGGAGAATGGGTAATATCCAGCAGTTTAATGAAATATCGCTGGCACAGGTGTTTTGAAGATGCGCAACGTCGATTACATCGACACTAAACGCCTCGATATGCCTCTATTCGTTACACCGTTTTAATGTTCATATACACGTTTCGTCGCACGTATCGAAAATTTCAAAGAATTACACTTGTGCAATCAGATTGGAATGGTCAGAATTGTTTTTTTCTTCTTGTCGAATATTCCACACGCGATTTATTTCAACAAATTGAAAGCGAATTTTGTTGCATTTCTGTTCGAAGGGATTCCTCGTTGAGGCAATTAATTCGATATTTGTTCACGACGAGTGAATTTTAAAGAGCACTCTGTTCCGTTAACTTTGTTAACAGGTACACATTCGCACGCGTAGCGTAATTTTTCCCGCGAGATTCACACGTCATCGCCACGGAAATTCGATCAGAATCGAAGCACTGTTTGTTCTCGAAGCTTGTAAACATTCTATATCGCTGGGTTTGTAGAATTTTCATCTTATCCAGCGATCGAAAAAAGAGAAAGAGAAAGAGAGAAGGAAAAAAATGTGAATCGTGCGCCGCGAGTCGATAAACGACATCCTTCACTCTCGAATCGAATTTATCTCGATTAATGTTTGTTCTGAAATTTTTTCTCGATCTCGATACGATAACACGCGCCTACCTTTATCCACGCTATCGCTGTATTTTCCATAATGTTCTATTGATTCAACGCAATTTTTCGTCCCTTGTACTTGGCAATCTTTTTGCTTCTTATCGACGCTTGTCTTTTCTTATCAGTGTTTTGTTGTAAGTTTCCTTAAAATCTTTCATTCGAAAGTTGCAAACGAAGCAAAGTATTCTTCCCCCTTTTGTACACCATTCTTTCGTTTCTTCTCGACTTCTCTTGGTTATAAATTAAAGAATTCCGCGAATAATAAGAGAATCAGGAGAAACACACAAAGAAACATAAGAACATTATTGTTCCACCCTGTATTCCACGAAACGACGCTGTCATTATCGATTATTCGCCGCTCCTTCGCCAGCTACGTTCTTGCATTTAACGTAAAATCTTCTCACTCACAATACTTCCCTGTAAACACCAATTATCAAGTACAACGTGAAACTCGCGACAACTCGAACTTCGACTTCTCCTCTTGTCTATTACGTAGTTATTTCGAGTCTCGAATCCCCTCCATCAATCCGGAACAGTTCAATAGGCCTGAAGTTGCCGAGTTTTCCTTTTTCGAACGTTTACGAGGGAAAATGTCTGTGACGGGAACAATCGATATATCGATAGATCTCGCGTAAAAGAACGGAGACAAGTAAATAGATCGAGTCGTTTAATCGTTTTAATCCGTAGATTACAATTCACGTTACAATGTATACTCTCTCTCTCTCTCTCTCTCTCTTTTAACAATTATATATAAAATTACATTGTTCTTGGTGTTCACTGGTTGATTATCTGAGGTGCGATCGTTGATCGATTTACTTGCAAATGAGAATCGAGGTATACACAGTGGCAGGTATGAATTATCGGACAAGGATATGAATCTCAAAGTTCTATTCGATATTTAATCGACAGTTTAACTTCGGGTTAAGATTGATCAGCTAAAAAGATTCGGAATAGTACGATCTCTTTGACATTATCTACGCTTTTACAGTTTCGTTGAAGGTTAGAAAATTTCGCGGGACCGATGGCGGTCTACGAGTTTTGTAACTTTCTAAGAGGGAAGTTAAGCATCCACGTAGCAACTATTAAAGTGACGAGCAAGCCGTCGTACGAAGGTTGGTCGTCCTATCCCTCGGACCAGTTACTTTCCTCCATTTTTCTTTTTTTTTTTTGTTTTTTCTTCTTTACTCGTTCCTGAAAGAAAAGGACTAGGTCGAAGTGGAAGAGGAAAAGAGTGTGGTTGCTCTTTAAAAAGTTTTCCTCCACCTACTACGGTAAGCTTTCGTAAAACGTTCTTTAAAAGGCTCCACTTTTGGTCGGGTGTTTCTTGTTCGTCCTTTATCAAAAATAAACAATATGTTTTTTTTCTTTCTTTTTTTTAGGATAGAACGAGAGAACGGCGTGAGATCAACGAGTCTGAGGTACATGTTTTAAATTCTTTGTTCTGTCGGAGAAAAGAAACGCTTAATCGTGGATCTCTTACTATTCGTGAAGTTTTTACGTAGAGGTAAATCTTCGTAATTATTCTCTAATATATTCGTAAAATTTCGAGTATATCAATCCTACTAGAAAAAATGGAAAAGAAGACAATAATAGAGAGAGACATTTAAATATGTTTCGTCTATCTTATCCTTAACGAACGCGCGAGTATCACATTGGCTCCCGAAAGAAATAACATTTCTTCGTTGAAGTTCACCGAAGAAATTCATCGTCGTGTTCAGAGAAACACTAGATATCGTGAATGAATAATTTCTGTATATCTGAAATGGTCTATATAAATTGTAGAACGACCGGGGGATGAATTTCGCCGATGGATTTCCCCTATGAAAATATCGGTTGTCGCCCACTGTACCGTACACCAAGAGGAATCACCCAGGAGAAATTTACGACGTGGAGGGTTCAGGACTCGCGTCGATGTAGTCGATGTCCGAGGACGTCGCGGTGCTCGCGCGTCTTCCTTGCCTTGGTGACGCGTTTATACGCGACTTTACGCTGGACGTCGACACTGTCAGCCGGTTTCCGCTTCGCTGTGCTGGCTGCTGCTTTATCCTGCAATTATCACGTCAATAGTCGACTTTCAGGATCAGTCGAGATTTATCAGTGTACAAGATGCAACGAAGCTGCGACGCAAAAGAAGGATACGCGTCATTTTCTCTGTCTCACTCTGACACGATTTCTACATACCAACAGAGGCAAGGAAGGAAACTGTTTCTTTGTTCGATAGACGAAGAATATACAGAATGAGTCGTTGAAAGTTTTAGAACAGAGACAATTGCACTGTTTTAAACTATGCTTTCGTAATCGTTAAGAATAGAAGAAAATTACATGGAAGTTAGCCGGTGCGTTTGTTTATAATCAAGAGCGACACACGTTTGGCCGTTTAGAAAATTAAAACGTGTCAGTCGAACGCGATTCGCGCTTTGTGCGCCAACATTTGTTGCAGTTGGCCGTGGTCCAAAAGTATCGGCGGAAAGAGCGCGGGATCGAAACTTCCGTGGAGCGTTTATAACTTTTACGCCGCGCGGAATTTATAGCCGTAGGTTGCTCCTCTCGATCGATCCCGCCTTATCGCGAGTTCCACGGGCGAGAACGATCGTTTATTCAGCAGCATCTTATGGAGAGTCGAGGCCGCTTGATCCAGCGGCTAATTCAAAATTTACCGTACTCCCCGTGGACTCGTTGTGAAACAATCTCCCGAGGCTATAAAACAAAGACTGCACCGAAAGGCTGCTTTGAAATCTCGTTTCTTAGTGAAACTTCACCAGGAGTTATTAACTATCAACGCAGCTCGTTTCACTTCTTCGAAATGTAATCTATCTCTTTCTATTTGGCACAAATGGTGTCTCGAAGAACATTTGGTGCCTCAGAACGATTAATCCGTTAAGTAACGCTGACACGGTACGCTGTTCTTTATAGACTATTACAAAAACAAGTTAAACAAGTTTAACATTTGCAATTATCATATTTTAGGACGAGGCAAACGGAAGATCTGGATCTCGTGTGGAAAACTCCAGCGTGCTAATTTAGGAATAAAATTGAAATACCTGAGAAACGGTATTTTCATTAAGATCTTCTCGTATCCATTCAACGAGTCTTATTAACGCGTGAAAAATTTTTCGCTCATACTTGGGGAACCTTCTGGTGCAATCTGTCTTTCGTCGTGAAACGTAGAACAAAACATCGTTTCCCCCCTCTTGGCTATCGTAGAATCACCATTCATCCTTCCTCTATCGCTCTCGAAAATTCAAGGGAAAAAGAAGCTGAACAATTGCATCGCAGCGTAGGAGTAATTAGACGAGCAGGTTTAACTCACTTCAATCTTTCCTCGGCACCCTTCATGGCAGTGTTCAGTTCTTTCTCCCACTGTTTCTCCTTTCTCTCTCTCTCTTGCCTCTCCATCTCCCGTTCGCGATTGTACACACGGTACTCCGGGATGAATGCTAATCTCCTGAAATCCATGCTTGGTCCAGCGGCGTCCACCAGCCCTATCGCCGTCTCCTCCGGTGGATGATCGACTTTCAGAGATCTGCGTGCCGAACAGAAGAAAACCGAGCGTTCTATACGCCTTGTCGAGCGGAAAATTACGGCTTGCGCGGCTCACACCAACAGATCCTTCCTCCTCGTTTTACGAACATCGCGAAAGCGGTAAACGCGGATCTTCGTTGAGTAGGCATTACCGAAGCGAGTGTTAAGTAAATTGTAATAGGAGAAGAAGGTGGAGGAGGAGGAGGTTGCGACTACTGGGCGGAGTGGTCGTCGAATGAAATTGGATTTCAACGAGAGAACGAGCGAGAAAAATGGGAAAGTTTCTTTACTAATCCGAGAGTTTTTGCAGCTTCGATGATTTTCGGATTATTCTCGAAAAATTCACGTTATTCCGAACGTGAAGAGAAAAGGATCTAGAGTATTGTCTAAGAAGGATTTGGATCGAAGCTTAAATTTAAAGGAACTCCCTTTATCTGTAAGTTTAACGAAGAAAAGAATATCGTACCGAAGCGTAGGATTAGAGAACGAACGAGAGAAATGGGACAATTTCCTGGTGTTCGAAGAGTTTCATCTCTCTCGATGATTTTATGATTATTATGGATCCTTTGGAAAAAAAGAGCAGAAGAAGAAGCAGAGCAGAAGAAGAGCAGTCTTGAAGAATTATCCGAAGTGAGATTAAAGAAGAATGTTTCACCAGAGCTTAATTTTATGGCAACCCTCTTCTTCTGTAGCTTTAACGAAGAAAAGAATATGGTAGTTAAGCGAAGGATCTCCTTTGATCAATATATATCCTCGACGTGAATTCGCTTTCTAAAAGGAGGGACAAGATCACACGATATCGTCTGGAATCCAGCAATTAACCCGCCTCTGCTTGCCCACCTTTGCTTCGCCAGACGCTTCTTTTTCTTGTGCAGCGGCTTCGTCTCGATGATCATCTCCTCGAGCTCGAAAGTCGGGTCACAGTTCAGATGATCCTTAGGCGGCGTGAACGGAGGCTTGATCTGCTTGTTCAACACCTTGTCAAAGTCAAGCTCCCTCATCACGGTCACCTGCTTTAGTTCCTTCAGCGTGGAAGTACGCGCGCCAGGCGCCACAGTTAACAGCCTATCGAGAAGCTCGCGTATCAGAGGACTCCATCCGGCTGGTGTAGGCTTTTCCTTCTGTGCAAGAAGGATTTTCACATTTTTCCAAATATTAGCTGTGTATCGAGTTTGAAGAGGATGTACAGTTATTTTTGAAAATATCCGGACGCTGATAAAATAAGGATTGCCACGTTCGAAACATATTGATAATTATCAGGTGTAGACTTTTTCTTCTGGGCAATATTACTTTCGTTTCATATTTTTCATATTTTTGAGTTTCAAAAGGATGCAGAGTTAAAAATTCCGACACTGACGAAATAAGGATTAACACGTTCGAAACACACTGTTAATTATCAGGCGAAGCGTGGGATTTTAAAATCCATCGAACACGGCGTTAACCCTGAATCCTCGATTAACTCTTTGCGGTCCGAGTTACTTTCTTCCAACTATTCCTCACTCATTCGTCCATTTTTGGACGGTACCGTGTAGTTCGCCTCTATTCCAGTATTTCATCGTCTGTGTTAACGTACAAAAGAATGATTTCCTATGTCGAGGCGTTGGATCGCAAAGGGTTAACAATTGAGACAATCCAGGTCGCGAAGATGTCAGAACTCTCGTTATTCACGTGTGTTACAAAGAAGACTCGGAGAAGTGTTAACAGGAACGGATAAAAGGAACTTTCTACGTTGTACGTGGATATAACGGCGGTTCGATTGAAGAAAGGAGCGTGTGAATGCAGGTGCAAAAGGAGTGAACGATAGGAGGAGTACGATAGGCGTGCGGGTATTCCCGAGAATAGGAAGCAAAGTATAAAAAGATTTTATCGACTATTTTACCTGGAGGATTTGTAAAGCCTCTCTGTGCGTGGTTGTAGAGCAGAGAGGATAAGGACGTTCCCCGGCGAGGGTTTCCCATGCGAGAACTCCCAAGCTCCACCAATCCACGGAGAAACCGTAGCCGAGGACACCGTACTCCTCGCAGGAGCACATGTAAATTTCTGGTGCTGTGGTTCAGAAGAACGTTCGAACAAATGTTCCAAGTTAGCAAAGAGATATCGGAGAAACTGTAATAATAATAACGGCACTGTGCACAAAATTGCAAGAAACTTTTCAAACGGAGCTTCAATTTCTCTTCGTCATTTGAACATATGAATTGAAATTAATATTAATATTAATTTTGCATCAAATTTCTCTATGTTAATCATCTGTGTTCTGGTTAATTACTCATATATGCACAACTAATCGTCCAATAAGTGCAATTTTATCTAATCATTTTCTTTAATTTTTCATATTGCGTTTTCCTTTCTATTATAGTAAAAAAATGTGAGTTACAGTATTATAAGTAATAAAATTGATCATTTTGGGCAAATGTTTCTCTATTATTTTATCTAATTATTTCCTTTCATTTTTCGTGTTGCGTTATCCTTTCTGCCATAGCAAAAAGCGTGGGTAACAGCGTTAGGTATAAGTAACGGGGAACTTAATTCTACACACCTAGGAAATAGTTGACAAAAATAGAACTGATCATTTTGGGCAAATGTGAACGTTAAGGGAGGGGTTAACACGTTGAATGCCGGACCAATTCTACGTAACTTGTCCACGGTGTCGAAAAGAATTTTTTATCTAATACAACACATTGCAGTGTGCATAAATAATATAGGTGAAAATTTTACAACCAATTCTACGTAACTTGTCCACGGTGTCGAAAAGAATTTTTTATTCTAATACAACACATTGCAGTGTGCATAAATAATATAGGTGAAAATTTTACAGATACTACCATTTACTCAAATTACATGCTTTTACTAATTTTGAGACCCCCGGTCACCGACCACCCCCCGGCATTCAACGTGTTAATACCGAAGAAGAGACTTTCTCTGTTCAAGTTTCACCAATATCGTCAATTTTCTATCTTCGATCATTTCTTCCTGTTTAACGAGTAGAACAATTGTCTCGATTTCACGGCGAACTTAACCAGCGTTCGAATTGAAACGTACCTATGTACGGTTTTGTTCCTGACATCGAAGTGGCTAATTCACCGTCCTCCAGCACCGTGGCAATGTTGAAATCCGTCACGTGCGCGTGTCCTAAGCAGAACGTACAATCCGTCGTTACATAAAGCTAGAGAGAAATAGGGAACGAGGCGTGTGTACCTCGTAACCACCGGTATTAAAACTATTCCGTCATCCTGCCGTTTCATCCAATTTCATCCCACCTCCGCATTGTGTCACGAACAATGCCACGAGGTTGATTAATCGTCAGCTGGCGATCGTTCAGCGATCAGCATCTGTCAAATGACGCGAAAACGAAGGTATGCGTGTGTCGTATAGAGTGGCTTCGATCAACGTGGAACAAAACGATCGAATGTCCTTCTACCCTCTCGAGGAGGAGAGAGAGATCTTCGAGAGAGGAGTTTCAACGTTACTCGAGTGTTCGAACCTTGCACGAGGAGGAATATAATGTTACAGGGTGCAGACAAGTGGAAAATATCGATGAAAGCGCGCGTGTACGATCGTACAATGGGCATTTTTCCTCGAGTCGAAGATTGTATAGTCGGTGGAAGCGATGCAGCGAGATCATACTATCGGTTAGTCCTCCAGAGACATCAGTTTCAGAGTGATAAGGAGGTAGAATCTACGAGTTTAGAGCATTTCGATTGTCAACTTGAAAGAGTTTTTATTATTTCGAAATCTGCAATTAACCTTTTGACTGCTGGCAGCTAGAATGTAAAGCAGAGCTGTTTAACTTGCTCACTAGCAAATTTCCCCTCCCGAGGTCCCCCCACTATGCGACTGAGATGATCTCGCTCAAGTTGCGGCGCGGCGGGAGGACGCGAGAAGGAGTCCTCGCACCACACTACAGCGACTGCCTTTTGTTTGTTACACATTCTGCGTGTTCGCCGATAGCAGTCAAAGGGTTAATGTTATACAAAAGTTGTCGACATTTTTTTTATTGCTTGAAGACACTTTAAGGCTGTAGTATCATAGGTTATTGAACTACTCTTGACAACACTAGACTAAATATGCAAAAAGAGTCAATGATCTATACTCTGTCCAATTTAAGAATAACCTCGCTTCGCGCGTGGGACGTGCTTAAGGCAGGGCTAGAACGTCCAAACCCCCACTTAACCGCCTACGTTTTTCTCCGTCTCACCCTCTGCTACGCTCTCTGTCTATGCGCAGAACGGACGAAAATCGGTCCGAGAGCGAGGTTATTCTTAAATTGGACAGAGCGTAGGAATGAGCTTCCAGGTGAATTTAAAAATTAGGTAAATCCTCTCTCAAGTGATCTTGAAACCATGTAAACCATCTAAACTCTTCCCAGTCAGTTTTTCTTATTTCCAACCCCAGCGCAGATAAATTACAAATTCATTACGAGCAAAACACCCTGTATCGTAGGCATACTGTCCTCAGAAATTTTAAATATCAATTCACAAATAACGTACATCTCAATCATACGATCTCGTTATATATCGCTTCCGTCAACTATACACACCTCATATATCCGTTTCAATTTGCTAATTATCCGTTACTTTTCCTCGCTCTCGCTTAGTTTTGAAACCAGCCTGGACTACAATAAAGCGCGAGCGTGCACATTTACCAGATGAAACGTCGAAAATAGCGGTAAGTGAAATACGGTTCGAAAGAGAGCTACGACTACGACGAACGACGGGGGGTTAAATTTCGCTGTCCGCCGGTCAAACAAAATAGTGGTCCCCTGAATGGAATTATAGAGGGGCCCTCCTGACGCGACTTGCAATTTCCACAGAATTTTTTAAAGCCCCAACGGCTCGCAGGCGCGTCCATCGACACACTGTGAAAGGGTTAAAAGGCAAAGAGAGAGGCGGCGGCACACGGCAAAGAATGTTTTCACGGGAAAGAGGAGGGGAGGGTCGAAATGTGAGCGCAGACGACCGGTGACATCCGGCCTCGGTAATTTTAAATGATGCAGAAGCAATTTCGTGGCTCAAACAGCTGTCTCTGGCTAAATGCAACCGGAAATTAGGCTCGCCCTCTTACCGTATACGTATACCTACTTACTTGTCTACTCTGCTCCGTTACTTTAGCTCTTTTATTCCTCTTTCGATTGTCCAACCTTTCGAATGTTTGTTTATTTTTTTATTTATTTTTGCGAGAAGATTTTTGACCAGATTAAACTGGAACAGGTAAACGCTACAGGTGATATAAGAAATACCAACGGACGCAAATTCAAAATGAGAAACTTATAAGACTTTGTTAATGTGTGTTATGAAGGAGTGAGTAGAAATATTGAGAAAATTTCATGTGCGTGCCGGTTCGTAGTTTCACAAATTCGGTGTATAGGGTCCGTGTTCCAAAAGTTTGACGAGTATCTTTCAGGTGAGAAAGGTTGAGCTGGTCTAAGTAGTCTAATTGGTGTATGAAAATTTATCAATTGCAATAGCTGGCTGAATGGTCGAAAACATTCTTTGTAGTATCTTTTAGCACCTTGATTTGTGATTTCTATTATACATATTCAGTTTTACAAAAATAGAGTTAGAATTAGAATTACTTTTTGTTATTAATATAACCGTTTTTGTCACACCTCGATCAGAATTCGTGCCGCGAGTCTGCCTCGTTATTATAAGGTAAAGTGTTAACTCGTTAATTAAAAAAGGTACAAAATTTATCGGTGGAACGATCAATATCTAGATCGGAGTGATTTATGTATCTCGACGAGTACATTTGTACACAAAATAACATTCCCTACTGGTCAGTATTAGAAGCAAAAAGGAAATCCCACAAAGGAGGAAAAGAAAAATAGAACGTGGTAGTAAGAATCATCTAATTTCATTTCAAACCTATTACACTGTATCAACCATAAAGTCCTTCCTATTTCATTTTTATCCACCGAGAATACACACCTACGTTCTACTAATTCCACTTTCAAAGTGTACACGAACAATTAGCTCTGCTTTCACATAATTTATTATTCCTTTTCGCCTTTGGCTGCACAGGATTTTCATTTATTTCCCCCGTCTACTTAGTATGCATCAACGCCGAGAGCTCGTAATAACAACATTACCGTGTTACCGAAGTCGTCGTCCTCGTCGTCATCTCGTGCCACGACGCTTTTACTAATTTCGCGCGAACCTCAAAGGTGTAGAAGAAGAGAGAGAGAGAGAGAGAGAGAGAGAGAGAGCTGGTCCGCGTAAATCTCACGGAGAAGAGTTAATCGGACGAATTGAAAGGTGCAGCGGTAGCAATTTATGAAATAAACCAAAGGAACTGGAGCTGGGTGTTTGATCTCTTGAGATTAATTTGGCAGACGCGAGAATTGTCCGCGCGGCGGCACGTTGCAGACGATATAATTTAAATTCACCGGTGGAAATTGCCGAATCCGCTCACCGAGCTATTCAACGGGTTTAATCAATCAGGATTAATTCACCGGGGTTATACGGTTAGAATATAGGGGAATACTTTCTGTTAGATAGAGAAATCGAGAATGAAACGACCGAAAGAAGGGAAAAGAACATCTTCTTACGATAATAAGAGGGATACATAAAAGAGGAAAAAGAAAATGTTTCACGAATCCTTTATCACATTTTTCCGATTCCACGCGTACCTTCTCGTTCTCTCGTGAAATATTTATCGTTCCTCGAATTCTTCGAGCCACAGACGTTGACACCAGGCACCTGTTGAGAAATCTACGCCAAAATAGCCGTTCGTTCTACAGGGTAATTCATAATTGGTGGTGCAATCGTGGAAGAAGTGATTCTATACGAAAAAATTAACGAAAAATGAAGAATAAAATTTGTTCTTAGAAAGCTTAGTCTTTGAGAAAATTTCGAACTCAGTTCTACTCCAAAGTAGGCGTGCATTCTACAGAGTGTTTCATAATTGGTGGTGCAATAGTTAAAGAAGGTATTCTGTATGAAAGATTAACGAAAAATGAAGAATAAAGTTTGTTCTTAGAAAGCTTAGTCTTTGAGAAAATTTCGAACTCAATTCTACTCCAAAGTAGGCGTGCATTCTACATAGTGTTTCATAATTGGTGGTGCAATAATAAAAGAAGGTATTCTGTATGAAAGATTAACGAAAAATGAAGAATAAAGTTTGTTCTTAGAAAGCTTAGTCTTTGAGAAAATTTCGAACTCAATTCTACTCCAAAGTAGGCGTGCATTCTACATAGTGTTTCATAATTGGTGGTGCAATAATAAAAGAAGGTATTCTGTATGAAAGATTAACGAAAAATGAAGAATAAAGTTTGTTCTTAGAAAGCTTAGTCTTTGAGAAAATTTCGAACTCAATTCTACTCCAAAGTAGGCGTGCATTCTACATAGTGTTTCATAATTGGTGGTGCAATAATAAAAGAAGGTATTCTGTATGAAAGATTAACGAAAAATGAAGAATAAAGTTTGTTCTTAGAAAGCTTAGTCTTTGAGAAAATTTCGAACTCAATTCTACTCCAAAGTAGGCGTGCATTCTACATAGTGTTTCATAATTGGTGGTGCAATAATAAAAGAAGGTATTCTGTATGAAAGATTAACGAAAAATGAAGAATAAAGTTTGTTCTTAGAAAGCTTAGTCTTTGAGAAAATTTCGAACTCAATTCTACTCCAAAGTAGGCGTGCATTCTACATAGTGTTTCATAATTGGTGGTGCAATCGTGAAAGAAGTGATTCTGTATGAAAAAATTAGGAAAAATGTAGAATATAGTTTGTTTATAAGAAGCTCAGTCTTTGAGAAAATTCTGAACTCTTTTCTACTCCAAACTAGGCGTGCATTTTATAGGTTGTTTCATAATTGGTGGTGCAATCACGAAAGAAGTGATTCTGAAAAATGAAGAATAAAGTTTGTTCTTAGAAAGCTTAGTCTTTGAGAAAATTTCGAACTCATTTTCACTCCAAAGTAGGCGTGCATTCTACATAGTGTTTCATAATTGGTGGTGCAATCACGAAAGAAGTGATTCGACATGAAACAATAAACCGAATTTGTTCGTCGGAAGCTTGATTTATGAGAAAATTGAGTTTAAATATGCATCGAATGTATCTACATTAAACAATCTGTCGGCCTTACATTTGTACTAATAACCGACGCAAATATCACGATAAATACTGATAATACGT